AATTTGAAGTTTAGAATTTGGGAATTAGTAGTGCTTTTGATGTTGTATCGAAATATATACCTATAATTTTGAAAAGTAGACAAATCATTGTACGATGTTAGACTGAAAATCAATCAAGTTAACCCTGATGAAGCGAACAAGGCAAGTCAGACGGTGGTAGTAAGATTTTGAACAAACTAGTAATTGGAAATTTGACACCTTATCTTTTATTCTCCTTTCCTGGATTTCTTTTAGCGTGTGTGCATAGGTAATATGAGTTTGTATTTCTTTAAGATCGTCCTTTTTTTTTGTTCTTTATCAGCCACAATGATTGCTAAGATAATAAGATATTGAGCTTACCTGCTAAATATTTTGACTCCTCTTTACTATTTGGGGAGTGTAGGTTGTGATGCGGTTGTAATGTGTCTACAATACTGATTTATGAATATCCTGTAGGATGGCAGTATCAGCAGTCAACACCTACTATACAGTGCATTCTGGAAGAAGCCCTGACTACAATAACAAAATTAAACCGCAAAGATCTTTGCTCAGTTGGTGCAAGTCGAACAGATGCAGGAGTTCATGCATTGGGTCAGGTCTGCTTTCCCTGCTAATGGATTCTACTAATCAAAGGAAACGATTTAAAAAAATAGACTTAGAGCCAACTTTGGCTTTCAGGTGGGACACTTCATTACACCTTTCAACTATGAAACGCTAGAAGGCGTTCACCAAGCTTTAAATGGTCTTCTTCCTTCTGATATCAGAGTTAGAGAAATTAGCCCTGCGGTGCCTGAATTTCATGCTCGTTTCTCTGTCACAAGCAAGATTTATTGCTACCAAGTGTATAATTCCACTATCATGGACCCATTTACGAGGCACTATGCTTACCATAGCACATATAAGCTCGACGCTGCCGTCATGACAGAGGCTGCAGGGCATTTCTTGGGGAAACATGACTTTTCTGCCTTTGCCAATACATCACGAAATGACCGGGTGCCAAATCCAGTGAAGACGATTTTTCGATTTGATGTTGTTGAAAAGGTACTATGCTCATTCCTTTACTGAATATAAGATTATCAATTAGCTTGATGGCTTGCAGTGAGGATGGGTTTCAGTTAGCCTACACAAAATACCATTGAGCTGGCTCACTGTACAAGGTCACATGCATGTGGCTTTCATATTAAGTTCCAGTCATTAGGCGCATCAGGACTTCTCCGAGCTTAGAAGCTCAATGAGTCTATGTATTCGTTAAGTTCATGCTAACAAATTCCAAGACTGAAGAAATATAGAATTTTGATGATATTCTCACCTCTATCCCATATTTATTTTACATATTTTGACTAGGTATGGAGATTTGAGTATTAAATTCAAATTTTGATCTTTATGGGCACTAAAGCGACCGATATAAGTTACTTTCGATTAGAAAAGAAACAACTCACTTCCTTGTTAAAGTTTCAATTTTTGACAAGATTAATTTCTTAACATGAGTCTTATAAATGTTAGTATTATTTTAGAAGTGTGTCAATATCATAGTATGTCTCATAATACAAATTGGAAGAGAGAGAGTGCAAATTGTTATAAAAAAGTACGTGTCAGCACCGGTAGAATTTACATTAGAAGCATTCCTTTGAAAAAGATCGCTGCATAATGTCAGAGACTATCTGTGAATTGTAAGTTCTGAAGTTACTTGTAATACATATGAATTTAAGGTGGCACAGTATAAAAAAATCATAAACATTTACAAGCAGTAGGCGAGACTATCTTATCCTAAACACAAAAATGCAAATCCTCCACTTATATAGATGAGATTATCTTATACGAGAGGGAAAAGTCTATCATGCGTGGTGATGCACTTAAACTGAGTACTATGGACACTTTCCCCCTTAAAAAGATCTTTTTTTGCACTCGATCCCTTGAATTATTCAAAATGGGTGCAAGCACCTACCCCATGCACCATCCAAACCGTGGGGTGATGGAAGATGTGCAGCCTTCTATAACTTGGTGAATATGGCAGTATCAGTGAAGAACTTTTGTTAAGCTGGCTCCTGGCATTTTTATACTACGAGTAGGAATAGAAAACTGGCGCTTGATGCAGAAGCATTTAAGGGATAGAGTACAGTACCTCCCATTTTGATCTGACTTTTTGTTTACTTTATCTTGGTGGCACTAATGTGAATCTCCTAACAGTCATTAGATCTTTGCTGACTTCTTACAGGAGTTAAGGGTTGTATACATTGCTCTAGTTTTGTACTTTATGTTGTGTAAAGAGTTGGCACATATTTGGTGCCTAATAAACAGACTCTATTCAACTTATCACAGAAGATAGGAGAAGGCTCAACCTTTCAGTCTTTGTTTTCACTATTTATTGACTCTTCTGCACTGCTTCTGCCTTCAATTCAACATTTTATCCCTCCAAGCTGACACTTTTATCCCAACAAAATTGACTTTGTTATTTCAGTTTTCTGTAGTTCCATTTTGTTGTTCTTCTCACACAGAGCCTGAGAAAAAGCATTAAAGGAAAGCAAAGACATAAATATTGAAACATTTGAAAGAAACCAAAGTTTGGGTGGTACATCCATCGATGAAGTTTTAAGTTGAATGTTGTCGTGCTTTGCTTGCAGGGACCTCTTTTGCGGCTTGAAGTTGAAGGATCTGGTTTCCTATATAGACAAGTTCGGAACATGGTATGTTACTTGCTTATTCTTGCATTGGTGATTGAGATTAAGTGATAGTCCATTCACTAACCAATGCATTTCAATCTGGCTTGAGGTGTTGCCGATATAACTTTGGCGAGAGAGTTTCATAAAACTTCCTCTGCTTTTTAATTATTTTTCTATATAAAATAGGATTTTTGAGTGACAGGCAAATGCTTATAAAACTTCAGTTACTTGTTATGGTTTCATGATTAAATCTCAATTGAATAAAAAGACCTTTGAGCGATGCCACTGAAGATAATGCATAGTGTTTTCTTTCAAAATCATTGGCAGGTTGCGTTGTTGCTTCAAGTTGGAAGACAAGCAGTTCCACCAGATATTGTTGTTAGGATTTTGGAATCTCGTGATAGGAAGGAACTTGCGAAGTATGCCTTGCAAGTTCCACCTCACGGCCTTTGTCTCGAGACTATCAACTATAAAGAAGAACATCTCAGACTTCCAACAGATTCCCCTGCAAGTAGTTTTGGTAGGCACCATAGTATAAGCTATTGTAAGGTGCCATTCATATGACAGTATGACTAGTTGATCATTTTGAAAACGAAAGCATGTAGAATGAATTTTGCCCTTTTTAACACACTCATAAAAAGCATTTGCTGTCTTGGTAGCCATTGCTTGAATGCGTGGCAAGAGTGATAACCTCTCATACTATCTCTCTTTGCATATGTGTCTTGCTATGTTCGTTGTGGAGGTCTTGCCACTGCTTAGGATCGCGTTATCTGTGGTAGTTATTATCCATACGCATATCTGAACGAGTGTCAATTGCTGCGTTGAGTGAAGGTTTCACAAGGATCCGTTGTGATTCCCTGTTGTTGTGTTCAAATTGCTTTAATTCTGGACCTCATCTTGGGATAGTAGTGCACTTCCCTCCAGATGGAAGTAGTTATATCAGAAAGGGAACAGGTAAAACATGTTTAGAAGGATATAATTTTGCAGAGAGAGTATTATAACTCGACGGGGTTGTGATTCTCTTGAGTCATGGCCATCCTCTTGTATCAGAGTTTTGTTGCTTGAATTGCTCCAGAAGGCTCATCTTAACAAGCTTTTCTCGGATGTGGCAAGTAAAGTTGCTAGAAGTTATAGTTAAATGTGGGTGCAGTTTTTTTTTTTTTTTTATAACCGTTGTGTTTGGGCCAGCTTGCGTGCACTTCGACTAGTTGCACATGATACCTGCCACCTCCCGCCAACAGGTACCAGGTAACTGAACTAGTATTTTGACGTAGAGCAAAGATACATATGTGAAAAATTACTAAAATTATTAACAAATATTAAATTCTGATACTATAACTTCAATGGATCACCTTAAAAGTTGAACCTCTCAATTTATATTTGGGATTTGCCTCTGCTCTTTCATATCTTTGGTTTGTTCCTGTTGTTAAATTAATGAGTGAAGTAGATATAGGAATTGGAGTTGAAATATATGATCTATAAAGCCTTTGACATATGGAGCTTCTTTCTTAAGATCAGAATATTCATTCTTTTTTACTTCAAAAAATGTTGTGCAAATGACAATAAAACAAAAAAAAAAAAAGAAGTTTCATGGGAGATAGATGCTACACGTGAAGACATTGGATGCCAATGAGTTCCTTGGATGATATCAACATTATATATATATATAGAGAGAGAGAGAGATATAGGGGCGGATTTAGGGGGGTGCAAGGGTGTTCACCCGAACACCCTTCGCCGAAAAATTACACTGTATATATAAGGAAAATCTGTTTTTTACCTCTATATATTAAGTTTTGAACACCCTTAACACAATCCAAAAGTGTAGTTTAGTGGTCAAGGGGGTTCAAAATTTACATAAGGTCATGGGTTCAATTCCCACTAGCTATAAAAAAAAGATTTTGAACCCCCTTCATGGAGATCCTGCTTCCGCCACTATATATATATATATATACTAGGACTTGAAACCTTGTAACTCATAGTTTAGCAAAGTTTTCAATTTCTCTTTCGGACAGGGTTAATTGGATTCTATGTACCCAAGTTGCATCGCAAATGTTGCAACAGTTTATAACGAGGGGTGCCAACTGACACACCCCTTTATTGGAAAAATATACTGTACAAGTAGGTAATATTTTTTGTATATTTATTTTTATATATTTTGACACACCTTAGTCAGCCACTAATCGAGGACCCGACTAACAATAGTCCCAGGAAATTCAATTTTGGAGCGCAATGAATGAAGAAATACTTATCACGTTGGTATGCTTTGGGACATTTTATGTCGTTATGGATGATACTTGTCAACGAATCTTTTTTATGTATTAACATTATCGGATGTGGTAAATTCTTTTCAGACACTTATCAGACTAGATAAAATGAATAAATAATAATTGTTACTGCATCGACATAATTACAAACCCAGTACAGTGAATAGCCATGATTTTCATTGATCATGGGAAATAACAAAAAAGAAAAAAAAAAATTGGTGTCAGAAGAACTTGTTCGTTCTTGTTATGTGCTCTTTTTCATTTTTTTTTTTTTGCTGGGGTAGGGGGTTGGGGGGGGGGGGGGGGGACTACAGGCTGTAGAATAGCATCAAAATTTTCAAAATCTTGGTCTTTTGGGCGTCAGTTTAGCCACCACAACAACAAGATAATGAGAAAATATGTACAATATGTTCTTGATTTAGCTTGAAAAAACAAAGATTTCAGGTTCTGATAGCTTTGGACTTGTCTAAAATTGACCACATCACCTGAACATCTTCATATGCACAAGCCATTACTTCACCCTGCAAATCTACTACATGGTTCTCTAAACCTGCAAATACAAAAAAATATGTGCAAAAATTAAACAACAAGGCCAAGGGATCGACATAAAGTCAAATTCAAGATTTAAAGTCAATGAATTCAGAATGAACGTAATCGATTATGTATTTTCACTTTAATTTTTTGGCCTATGTATAAGTGAAGGGCAGCCCGGTGTACTAAGTTCCCGCTATGCGCGGGATCCGGGGAAGGGCCGGACCACAAGGGTCTATTGTACGTAACTTTTATTCTGCATTTCTGCCAGAAGCTGTTTTCACGGCTCGAACACTTGACCTCCTGGTCACATGGCATCACTTTACCATGGCAGCACTTTACCAGTTATGCGAAGGTTCTCATTCCGCCTATGTATAAGTGAATCGAAGTAAAAATAGTAGATTCAGTTGAACCTACTCAATCGGCTCTAAATCACACAACAAGACGAATTCAGGATTTAGAGTCAGAATAGATATAGATTGCACTATTACACACAAAAATTGTATGTACATACCTTCTTCTCGTGACTTCTTATCTCTTGGTGAATCTCTTGGTGATTGTTGATTATTGAAAAAAGTACGAGCTTTTCTAAAAGGAGTAGTAATTGTTTTGACCCAAGAAGTCATTTTTCTATTTTGACAAAGAGTTATATGTCCAACTCTCTATTTACAAAGAATACAAAAGGGTTTATATAGAATGTACATCTCACCTAGACTACAGTATTTTAAAAGGATAGTGTGGGAGCCATAATAGGGCAGGCAAGATCCGTTAGATAAGGTTTTATGTAACCTCACATCTCTCTCTTCTTTATTTCTATTTAACTTGTCCATATTTGAAACTCACTGATTCGACTAATTTGAATTTTTGCATGCAGCGTAGGCTCGAGATGAGAGCAAAGCACCTACCGTCAAGAAGTTTTTTACTTATTCACACAGATTGATCTCGAGATATCTGATTAAACTAAAGAGATCTCAATCATTTCGCCGCAACCTTTGAATCGAGGTTTTTCTCTCTCTCTCTTCTTTAATTATTTTTACCCTGGAATATTCGATGCTCACTGATTCGACTAATTCAAATTTATACATGCAGTATAGGCTCGATATGAGAGTAAAAAGCACCTACCGTCAAGAAGTTTTCTACTAATTCACATAGATCTATCCCGAGATATCTGATTAAACTGAAGAGATCTCAACCATTTCACCGTACTCCTTTGAATAAAGGTCTTTCTTTTTCTCTCTCTCTTTATTTCTTTTTAGGTTGTCGATATTCAAAACACACTGATCTAACTAATTCAAATTTATGCATGCAGTATAGGCCCGATATGAGAGTAAAGCACCTAGCATCAAGAAGTTTTCTACTTATTCACATAGATCGATCCTGAGATATCTGATTAAACTTAATAGATCTCAATCATTTCACTGTACCCTTTAAATCGTGGTCTTTCTCTCTCTCTCTCTCTCTCCTCTCTCTCTCCTTTATTTTTTTTATCTTGTCGATATTTGAAATCCACTGATCCGACTAATTCGAATTATTGCATTCTGTGTAGGCCCGATATGAGAGTAAAGCACCTTACCGTCAAAAATTTTCTACTTATTCACGTAGATCGCTCTCGAAATATCTGATTAAACTGAAGAGATCTTAATCATTTCACCGCAATCCTTTGAATCGTCCTCTTTTTTTCTCTCTCTTCTTTAATTATTTTTCTTATCTATGCACTTCCAAGTTTTGTGCTGCCGACTGCCCTTCACAGCCACATGGCTACGGAACCCTTCCACGTGAAGACATATTATCTTCTTGAATGTGACGTAAAATGATTTATGAGCCCAAAAAATGATACAAACAAAGTAACGTCTTGTGTGTACAACTTGTGTACTTTGTATTTTGACTTGACATTCTCTTTTGAAATAATTTTTTTATTATGAAAATCACATGGTGGTGGTACCCTTGGTATTGATTATTGAACCGTGTTGACCTCTCTTATTTTTTCTGTTCTCACTTGGTGTCTGGTATCTGTATAGGGCCCTGCTAAATTCGAATTTACGCCGGGACTCATATTGTGGTATAAAGCGTTTCCTAATAAAAGTGATTGACTCTATACCCAAGACTCAAACCTAAAATCTCTGATTAAGAATAAAGGAGTACTTATCACTCCACAACGTCCGTTGCTGTTTTCCTTTGCTTTATGCAAGTTTTTGATGGCTCCTGCATTTTACCTAGGTTCCTAAAAAAGTTCACTTCTATGATTTATTAGGGTTTATTTTGAGAAGGTATGAGTTTGACAACTGTTATACTTTTTATTAGAGGATAAAATTAATTACTGCATTATCTTATTATTAGCACAAGACGCTAGTTTATAAAGTAGGTTTATGTTTTGCATTAAGTGTAAATATTGATGAGCTCACAACAAAAGTGTAAAGCTAAAGCTTGTGCTTGTCAAAGATAATAAGTTATGAATACTTTTTTGGTTACACACTCAACTACTATTACGACCTTTAAACTATGGATATATAAGTACTCTTCTAGGTTATACTAATATATGATTAAGGAATCATAATACCTCAATTAAGTTTTGAAGATTCTTCATCTAATCAATGATAGATACGAGGAGGAAAATTAACCATAAAATTAAGTCATTTTCAACTCGAACTATATTTGTAAATATAATAGAAAAAAAATTTAACACAAATGTACAGGGGCGGAAGTTTATTAGGACCGAACGCGGTGTCACGGAGACCGCTTCGTCAATTTTTTTTACTCTATATATATATATATATATATAATAAGTAAAACAGAAATACAAGATAAAATCATTAAAAGTGACATCACTTGCATCGAAATAGCTCTATAGTCTAGTGGTTGATAGCTTCTAATTTGATGTGAGAGGTCTTGGGTTTGAACTTTTTTGGGTCCACAAATATTTTTTGACTGTTATGAGCCTATTGCTAGAAATAGTGACACGCTATTGAATATTTATGTATATATATAATTAAATCATATATTTATTTTGAATGTACTGGCTCTAAATCGAAGGTAGACTAGTCTTTTTTGCTTCTAGAGGTTTTCCTGGTCTCATATTTAATCTACTAGAGAAACTTTATTTTTCTTTAGAATATTTGGTGGATAGTGAATAATCAATAGTTAAAAGATAATGTTGGGTTAAATCTATAGAGTATTTATGGTAGCTTAAGCCCGGAACTAATTATTTTTGTGTGTACGTTTCCAAGCTCGTAACGTAAGCAAACCGAACTCCGCATTAATATTAATTGTCTGTTTTATGTCAAACTGGCACGATTTTTTCCAAAATATCTCACATCACTAAGATTCCTGCCCTTTATATTTATGCTCCCAATATTTTCACTACTAATATAAAACTTTGTTCATACATCCAACAAATAAAACAACAGACGACATATGGGAACTATACCCAAACAATGTAGGGTTGGATTATAATGTAATATATTAAAAAGTATTTTCTATATATGTTATTGAGGCTCACATGACTGTGTTCTGAGTAGTATAATTTCCATCATGAGGAATATATGTTTAATATTCCATCAGAATCTTAAATGCAGGCACATAATTAAAAATTTATTATATTACTTTATGCTGAATCATTTATCTTGTATTCTGAAATTGCGAGCCTAGTTATTGGTTAAATGAATCTGATCGTAATTTTGGTGGTGGTAAAATTGAGGTCCATAAAATTAATTTTATGTATTTCTCAGTGGAGCATGTTGGAACAAATAAAGAATCACGTTAGCTTCTGAAAATCCATGTTCTTGATACCTTGTGTATGTGAGGGTTTGTCACGTCTAATGATAGAGATGCAAAGATGGGGTTTATTTACTTTTGGGAAAATAATTATATATCAAAATAATAGTCGAAAATATATATATATATATATATAGTTATATATAGTTATATATAGTTTTGTATGTTGAGCGGTTGGCTTTGGCGTGTACGAGAAAAAGTAGAAGGTGGCCTATAAAGTATTGGGGAGAGGTGATCAGGCAGGACATGGCGTGGCTTCAGATTTTCGAGGACATGACCCTTGATAGGAAGGTGTGGAGGTCGAGCATTAGGATTGTGGGTTAGGAGGTAGTTGAATATTTTGCTACTTTCGTATCGGTGTGAGGCTAGTCTGATATGGTTTTGTCTTAGACTGCTAGTGGTTAATATTGTGTTCACACCATTCTTCCGTTTTTCATAGTGTCAGACCTTTTTTTAGTGGGTATTGTTATTGCTTTTCATCTATTTTCTGGTTCTTATGATGTTATTATTTCTATGGTTTCTGTTGATATATTGTCTCTTTTTGTCTTTTCGAGCCAAGGGTCTATCAGAAACAACCTCTCTACTCCCTAAGGGTAGGGGTAAGGTCTGCATATACACTACCCTCCCCAGACCCCACTTGTTGTATTTTACTGGGTTGTTATTGTTGTTGTTGTATACATTTTTGTATGTTATATACAAAAAATGTACAAATTTTATATACTTACGGCTATCAAATATAAATAATTTTGGCCGCAGACTAAAAGTAATATTTACCCTTTATTTTTTGGATTTCTTATTTTGTAGGTGTAATAAAACTAGTAAAGGGACTTACAACATGTCTTCTTAGCGGACGAACCATCTGCAGTAATTTGACCGGAAGTGGATCATCTGGAGTAGTTTGGCTAGAAGCGGATCATCTGCAGCAATTCGACTCGAATTACCAGTCGTTGGGAATCCTCACGTGGCGGATGGGTCCTTTATTTTCACAACCTAATTTACCTTCGATTTGGATGCAAAGAACTAATCCTAGCAACCCTCTCTTATGAATAAGTGAGTCTCCTAACACCCATAGTGATATTTAAATGGGGCTGACTAATTATTAATTAGTAGCACCCTTATGGATGTACTAGGCCCAAAAAATTAATTTTAATTAATAATAGGAAAAGCCAAAATAGGTATCTTTTTACTACTGAAAATTTTATATGTATCATCATCAAGATTCCTAGAGGTCAGAGGCGGATCCAAGATATAAACTGTAGGGTTCAATCTTTAAAATTCTTAGTATTGAACCCGTTATATTTTCAAATTTATGGTTCAGAACTATCATTTGTTGTAATTTTAGTGATTACACATAATTTATGCTCCACGTCGAATGTTATGGGTTCAGATGAACCCGGTGTCTTTACTCTACATTCGCCCCTGCTGACGGCATTGATAAGATCTTAATTAAAGAACTCAGGTTCAAGTTTCGTGAACATAAAAAATTCTAATAAGAAGTAATTTTCCTTTTAATGAATTTTACATAATATAAACTTAAATTAATCGGAATACCAAAATGAATATAAAAAAAAATAGTAACTTCATACATGTGAATATGTCATGTGGAGGACATGTAATTGGGTAGGAGGGACAAGATCTTTCATATCCCTTGTTTCAGAAGGCTGTTCTTCATCTAGATAAGTTAATCTAGCTTTTCATTAAATTGTCAGTCTGTTTTTCGATTATTTTAGCGTTAAATACTATACCTGTTAATCGGGCCGGGCTGACCCGTTTTCAGCCCGCTTCAACCCGGGTCAGCCCGGTTCAGCCCGCTACTGTAGCATATAGGGCGGGTTGGGACGGGTTGGATGGGGAGCGGGTTTTAGACGAACACATTTTGGATACCGGTGCACCGGAACCCGCTAAGCCCGCTAACCCGTTAATGGATTGTTAACGGGCTGCAGCCCGGTTCAGCCCGTTAATGGGTTATATTTCTATTTTTTTTAATTTTTTTTTTAATTTATGTACCGTTGCTAACAAAATTTAATTAAAAAAAAATTTAGCACAGCCCGCCCGAGCCCGTTTAAGCCCGAACCCGTACGGGCCCACAAAACCCACAAAAATACAACCCGCTAACAGCCCGCTATTCCCAGCCCGCCCGCTAACCGAACGGACTGGGATTTTTTCCGTTCAGCCCGTCCCAGCCCGCCCGATAAATACCTATATTAAATACTCCCATTATTTAAAAGAGTTTATGTTTTACGCGCTAGTCTTTGGACTTTGATGGTGTAAATTATACTTATACCATCAAATACGTAAAAGATTGTTACACGTAATCATATTTAATAAGCATTGACCGGTAATATACATAAATAATAAATAACCTACTATATCATGTTAAATTATACAGATGATACAAAATTTTGTTACACTATCAGTTCATAATAACTAAGATTGAAGTTATATATATAAATAGCATAAAGAATTTTTATTCTATCAGTAATTAATTTAATTGACTAGGTTTGTTATTATTTAATTTTTAGATTTAAGTTATATACATTGTCAATGTTATCTTTACTTGTTGTAGCATGTAATATGTCTTATTCTCAATATTACAAATATCACATTTTAAGAAGACTTACCTATAAATATCTTTTGGGTAATCTGATAATGTAAATGATTATTTACACTAGCGATGAATATGACGTAAAGACTATTTTTAAGACTACCATATTAAACATGTTATGAAAAATTACCTTTGATTATACGTCAAATAATGGTGTAAAAACTCTATATACCATTAATGCATAACTCAGATATGCTCTTAGAAAGCTATACTTCTCGGGGGCGGATCCATCTTGCGACCTACGGGTTAACGTGACCCAGTAGCTTTTGTCCAAACAGTGTAAATGTGTTCGAAAAATTCATTAAATATCTCTAAATGTTTGAATGGAACCCACTTAATATTGAAAATTTACTCGATATCGTTGCAGGAACCCATAAACATTAAATTTTGAATCCGACTCTGAATTAATTCTCTAGTCACAACTTGGAATATACTTTAGTCACACTTGGAATCTTATCAAGCTTCTCTACGAATAATGTTTTGTTAGGTATTAATTATGTCTGGTTTAATTACTTAGATAGAAAGAATGAATTCATTAATTAAACAATTTTAATTAGGTAGAGTATTATACTTGGTCAATTCCATTTGTTTTCTATAGCATAACTTCAACTTATTTACATACTTAGAATATTTTACACTTCTAAACTGTGCCTTTTGAAAATCATATGTAATAAGGCAAGTCGGTGCCTTTTCAATTAGCTTTTCCATCTTATACATATTTTTCGTAATTATGGCCTGCAAATAAAAAAGATTTTTTAATTAGATGAGACAAAACATAATTAGAATACAAATATTATTGTCCTTCAATTTGTGGTCAAAGTGCTAACCGAATCTTTAACTGAACTTTTAAACTATTTCAAGTTCATTGTATGGTGTAAATTGTATTGGTTTTAATAAAGAAAGAATAAAGTACATTTGATATACGAATCAAGAGAGCTAATACTAACGTTACTTTGTTCTATATAATAATATGTCCGGAGATAGTTAACCTTTCTTGATTGACGAGTTATATATATATATATATATATATATAACTCGTCAATCAAGAAAGGTTAACTATCTCCGGACATATTNATATATATATATATATATATATATATATATATATATATATATATATATATATATATATATATATATATATATATATATATATATATATATATATATATTTTGTTTTGGACCGTGCACAGTTTATACTCTTGCGGGCCAGGAGTATAGCAACATGCAGTTTAGGCTCGTGCGTTAAGGAGCATCATGACTTGCAGTTTAGGCTCGTACGGCGAGGAGTATCATGACTTGCAGTTTAGGCTCGTACGTCGAGGAGCGTCATGACTTGCAGTTTAGGCTCGTACGTCGAGGAGCGTCATGACTTGCAGTTTAGGCTCGTACATCGAGGAGCGTCATGACTTGCAACTTAAGCTCGTATTTTAAGGAGCTTTGCAACTTGAAGATTTTGCTCAAATTTGAAGAGCTTCATGACATGCAGTTTTTGCACGTGCGTCCAGGAGTGTAGTTATCTACTTTTGACGACTTGGAAGCATTGACGCGAAGGTAATTTCTTCTTATCTTTTTTGTGCTTTCTTCTTTGACGTCTTTTTTTCTTTTTTTTTTTTGTAGGTCAAGCGAGAACGAGGTGATCCATGCATGAAGAAGGCGGTCTTAAAGTGTGAGGGGATGAGTACTCATTAACCGTTAACCGTCTAAGCCAAAGATTTATTTTATCTTAGGCAAAGAACATCACGCCGTTTATGCCAAAGATTTATTATCTGAAGCGAAGACCATTACACCGTCTGAGCTAATGACTTCATCTTGTTTAACTTCATTTTATCTGAGACATAGACCTTTACACCGTCCGGGCCAGATTTATTTTGTCTGAAGCGAAGACCATTACACCGTCTAAGCTAATGACTTCATCTTGTTTGAAGATTTAACTTCATTTTATCTAAGGCATAGACCATTACACCGCCTGGGCCAAAGATTCATTTCGTCTGAAGCGAAGACCATTACACCGTCTAAGCTAATGACTTCATCTTGTTTGAAGATTTAACTTCATTTTATCTAAGGCATAGACCATTACACCGTCTGGGCTATATATATATATATATATATATATATATATATACACACACACACACTATATTAGAAGCACGAAGGCCCATAGTGAAATGTCGTTTGTTTTTTTACCCTTTTAAAATTGAGTTCATACTGGACAAAATAGTCATTTTAATATTTTCTTAAATATTGGAATAGTTATTTATATAAAAATCCCTAATATTTAGGAATTTAATCTTTTCATTATATAGATTTTACTTATATAAGTTCTTCCTTGTTTCAACTAGGTAGGAAATATTAATCCCTAATATAAGTAAATTAGGATCCTTCAACAAAGGTTTTAAAAACTTCGTTTCTTATCACTAATATTTAGTACTTAATTAGGAACAAAATTTGCTTTCTTCTCGAGAGAATGAATAGACTTTGCCTTTCAATAATTAGCTAAACAGTGATTATAGACAAATGAGTTTAAAATCAAAACCCACAAGCCACATTCAAATATAAATGATTAGCTAAAATTTACATACAAAAATATAAATGCATATTCAAATAAATATTATAATAGATATAAATTTCTAATATCGAAATGATATCTTAATTGCATGAAAAATATATATTATTTTATACTTTATTTAAATAAATTTTATATTCGTCGATATAGGTACACGCGGAAAGCGCGTACCCTAAGACTAGTATATATAAATGTATAATATACATCTTTTATACATAATTTTTTTATATATTTGACTAGCAAATATAATATTTTTTTGGCTGAGCGGTCAAATGTATAACTTATCCTTTTTATTAGGGATTGTTACCTAAATAGCTGGCTAGATTCAATGTTTATTTTTCTAGCTGGTATGCATAATTAATTCATTGATTATACACAGTTATACATATGTATTCTACTTGAAATTAATATATATTATACATTCGTCAGCTATATTTAGTTTAAGAGATTAGATGAGCGACTATTTGAATTAATTCTTATTTTTATTTAGTACATGCACAAAGTGGAAACCCCAAAAATATGGAAATAAGCATCAAAGAAAGCAGGCCCAAGTAAAAAGAGCTACCAGAGAAAAGACAGAAAAAACCCAGGTCCATAATTAAATATGTTAAATGGGCTCACTACGGAGAACAACTGTCTCAATAGTAAGACCAGGCCCAAATGATAAAAGGACTCCCAAGTCCAGCCCATCTCCAGAAGTCTTCAGCCCATCTTTGGCAGATTTCTTTCTAATAATCTCATCCAATATGAATAGGGCTGTCAAATTTGGCCCAAGTCCAAATGATCCGTCCAATCCGTCCAAGGTTGGGTTGGTTAATTGATGTTGAAATGACGTGTAGTAGCCACTAATTAAGGGTGTCTTTAATTTTTATCCACTAATTATAATGCTCAGCAAAAATAGCCACTACTAATAGGAAAAAGACAGTTTTACCCTTTCTTCAATGGTTATATTCCTAAACCCTTTTGCAAAAAGAAAGAAGCGATGAAGGTGAAGTATATATCAAGCGCAGTAATGGTAAATGTGAAAAACCCTTCTGAATTTCGAGCTATAGTTCAACACC